ATATTGTGAGCTTTCCCACGATATCGCAATGAAAAAAATAAAACATAAGGACTGAGAAACAGCGTGGACTTTCTCAGAATCAACAATCAAAGCACCAAACTATTATTTAACTCTGGTAAAAGTATTATACAGTACTGTTCTGACTTTTCTCACAAACCCTTGAGCACATTGTTAATCAGCCTCTTCACGTAGATTCTTTTTCACTCACGTGTTTGGCTTTAGAAGAGCTTTTTTAGATAGAGAAGTGAAAATGGGACAGATCGATAAAGCACAGACAGTCTTAGTGCTGCCTGGGGCTTTTGTTTCCAGGTTTATGATGAAGATATTTTATTGATAGACGCAGACGGTACAGCTCCATTGTCGTGTCTTTGGGTTGAAATACATTAACTTTTCATAAGGTTAAGAAGTTAAAGAATAATACCGTATTTTTTGGACTATAAGGTGCACCGGACTATAAGACGCAATATCAATAATACCACACACCAGATTATAAGGCACATTAAGAGAAAAAAACGGACGACACTTGAGACTGATCCTTAGTCCAGGCGTCCACGATCCATCGGCAGATCGTGGTGTAATTCGCCCGACGTTGCCTCCCTGTCTTGGTGAATGTGAATTATGAATATGAATGCGGGTGGATCATTTAAGTTTGTTTTTTTATTTCTTACAAGGACGACTCAAATATACATTGAGTAATAATGTGTTTAATGCAGCTTTGTGCACATTTGTTTACATTTTACAGAAACAAAACTTAATGTCACATGGCTAATTTGCATAAACTATAAGCTGCTCCTTGTGCGCTGATGCCATCAGTTTCTGTCGGACTAACCCTGTGAGACTCCTGACTACAGTCGCCGTAATGCTCTGATATTCCATCAAGTGGTGCGGCTTCATAGTTTACCAAAGTCGTACTAAAACATTTTGACAGATTTTTGAGCGCCGTGAACCACATAAAATTGGTTCAAGGGCAGCACAACCAGAATTAATACATAAGGCGCACAGGATTATGAGGCGCACTGCTGATTTTTGAGAAAATTAAAGAATTTTAAGTGCGCCTTATAGTTCGAAAAATACGGTAAGTTAGTTTAAAAGTGACAAATATCAATTAATTTGTTCAATTCAATTTTGGAAACTGTTAAAAAGATTTGAAGATCTTTGACGTTGTTTCGTCGACGTCACAAAACTGGAAAATGTTTGGAAACATGTGGATGACGACTTCCTTTGGGCTCTGTTGGCGATAGCAACTGACAAAATCTGGGAAAACTGAGAAAATGACCTGATCTAGATTCTTTTTTTCCTTTTATAAATTTACTATTAATTTGTGTATTATAATTTGTCAGACTTAGTAAAAATCATTGTAGCTTTTCATTATGTTCGGTTTGTAAGTGACATGTAAAACGTGAACTTGTGGTTGTTCGATGGAGCTAACTACTGCCAAATGTACTGTGTGAAGTTTGTAAAATGCCTTCTTTTTTCTGTATGTTTCAGTTATAAAAATATAATTCCAAGAGTCTGCCATAAAAGCAAAAAAAAAAAAAAACTACGCCTTGTGTTTTCTTTATTAGTTTTTGTCCTGGAGTGTGGCTTTTACAGTTGACTCTCTCCTCACATATTTGTTTTTCTTAGAGCAGCTGGCACCTTTTATGCATTATAATGTATTATTGTTTGATGTATAATTTCAGAGGTTGTTTGGGGCGAAATAATAAAAAGCTACAATGGATAAGCTGAACTAAATGATCACATAACCAGACTCACACTGTATAAAAAGACACAAAGGAAATGATAAGTAAATGTAGTAAAAAATATGGTCAATATCGCCAAACATTAAAGAACCAACATTACGATATTTTCTGATCTATGTTATAAAGTTTGTTTCCTCATCACAAACGAACCTGGAGTTGTGTTTTGATTCATTTACATATATTTAACTCACAAACGCTGCATATTTATAGCTTGATTCATCAGCCGGTTTCACTTTGTGGAAACCGTCTGACCTCGCAGCATTAGGATTCGTTCGCTCGACGGTAAGTGGGTACTTTTTTTTATTTAACCAATCGCTGATATTTGGTCGTGACGTATGTAATGCTCCAAATCCTGTAGGAAGAAGGGCTATAACGTCTTTCCCCTTGATAAAATTCATCAAACATTCTCTTTGTTCCAGCTTTAAATCCTCGATCTCGGGAATCGTCGCCAACACAGAATGTCTGCCTTCGTCTACATCAAGGCATGTCCAAAATGCGGCCCTCAGACAAATTTTTCTTGGCCCTCAGGCTTCCAGGCAAATTGGCCCAAATTGCCTTGCATCAATTAAAATGAACTTTTTACTGCAAGTTTTTTTGAAAATCTACCTTAATAAAGCTAATATTTAATATTTAGTGTGTAATTTTAAGGATCTTAGCATGAATAAAACTAATGGCTCATTCTAACGTGTTAAACATGCACATATTTAAATTATTCTCTGTACCGAGCACCAGTCTATGGCCCTCTGCTTCATCTGTGTTTAGAAATGTGGCCCTTGATGAAAAAAGTTTGGACACGCCTGGTCTACATCCATCTCGACCGCTTTGTCTAAAAAGGGACACAGACAGGTGCTTGCGTTTGACGTCATGTCTTCACAACTCTTCTCTGATTGGCTGGTGCGCGGTCTACAGCATCCGGGGTTCTTGAAAATCGTCTAGTGTATTCCGATTCCTGACCTAGTCGCTGGAGAGAAATGAAATTGAGCGGAGGCACTAGGTGACGCCGGCCTGACTAGTATATTAAGGCTTCTTCTCTCAAACTGAAAACACTCAGGAAATGCTCCACTCTATTTTTTAACTCCATACACCTTCACTAAAATCATTGGATGAATTCAGCTCTAAAATTGCCAATTTCTACTGAACTAAAGGAGCTGTTAAAGGTTGTATGGAGGATTTTTTTTGTTTCAAATTGTCAATGATAGCATTATAGAGATGCAGTAGCCTTGTAATTATGATGACCAAAAAAAAGAGAATAAAAATTCATCAACTCTGGACGTGGTGGGGCTAAACATTTGCCAATAGATAACGACACTGCCTCGTTATCTGTGAGCTGACAGGCTGTCAATCAAACTCCCTACGTTTCTAGCATAACTGACTTGCCTGCGCGCTGCCGTTACGTGGTTTACGTACGCCTGTCACGCAGTCCACAGACGCAAGACGCACAGACGCAAGACGCACAGGCGCTGTTTACTCCACCAACGCAACAGTTCTTAGCGGCTTTTTTTGACCTACATCTTCCTCGCAGTTCGCACAAAGTTTGTTGCAATGGCGACAAGAATCCAGGAGCAGTTAGCCCCAAAAGAAAGTCCGTTTTTGAGATTGCTGAAAGAAGAAGACAAGGGGAAAAGCAGCGAAGCCAAACTAAGGTGATTCTTATAGATTCATTCCAGTGATGGCGCGACTGAAGCAGACGCAGGGTCTAAAGACTGACGCACTGGTCCACAAATTACTCCTGGACAGGAAACTTCTGCTTATTATGAAAACGTACTTTATTTCCAAGAGCTAGTCAAATGTTTTTCAGGACACGAAAGTGATATCCCATGTCTGAAAACGTAATTTTCAAGGCAAAGAAAGAGTCCGCTTGCTGCTGCGTGTTGTAGCTAGTTCATTCGCACTGAATCCCCGCGCACCCTTCTCTGCACCCCTTTCCTGCTCCTCTCCCCGCTGCCCGTTCCGCTCTTCCCCCTGCTCCTCACTTCTCCACCTTGCCTAACCAACACTGTAGTTAGTTGTTTACAAGTCATGTGCAGCTCACCGGCTGTAAACAAACCTGTTTCTGGTGTAAGGAGGAGGTGGGAGGAGGCGTTTCTACGTAGGAGCTGTAGGGGAGGGGGGGTGGTTTCACGCATGCGCAACATTTGAAAAAGGACAAACAGTCGCTGGATTTCTCGTTCCTTGGAAAATCCTCTATACAACCTTTAACTTGAAAACGACCACTTCATGACATCAGAAGACGGAACAGAGCATTTTGAGCTTTGGAGATGTAGACCAACTAATTGTGTGAATGAAACAAAACAAAACTCCAGGTCTGTTTTTGAATCGATAACAAGATTATAACATGACTTAAAGCTCACAAGAATCTGTTGTTGTGTAATATGAGACCTTTAAAGCGACACTGAGAGGTGTCATGTTACCTGCATCATTCAATTAGAATATTCTCCATGGGAATAGATACATTTTTAGTCATGCTGCGGGACATTATAGCTGACGGAAAGACAGAAAAGGCCCCTACAGGCAGCAGTGGACATGAATAATTGAAAAAGACACAAACACTAGCATGCTGTAATGAACACAATTTAAAGACAGCAATGACTTCATGATTTTAAAACTGTGCAGGAGGCCTCCAGCTTTCCCCCTGTGACGTCACAATCCAGGAAGAATTTAAATGTGATTTCTCACATATGTATAAAATTTTAGTTATGGATGAGGTTTAAAAGCTTAAAACATTTCTTAATATGTGTTTTTAAGCATTTGGTGTTACCTGAAGTTGTGTTTTATTTCATTCACACATGTTTGAGTAATCCTTTATTATTAGTCAGTCTACATCTCCAAAGCTCAAAATGCTCCGTTCCACCTTCTGACGTCATGAAGAGGTAGTTTAAGTTAATAGCTCCTTTTACCTTTAGTTCAGTAGAGATTTACTATTCCAGAGCTGAAATTATCCAAATGCTGAGGTGAACTCCACCTTCACTTTTTCCATTACCACATGACATCCCAAGGGGGAACCGAGCATTTTCCTTACGAGAGAAGAAATAAATACGCAGAGTTTGTGACTTAAACATGTGTGAATGAAACAAAACACAACTCCAGGTCTGTTTGTGATGAGAAAACAACATTATAACAGATCAGAAACACATCAGATACACTTTAAACTCGAACACTGTGGAGATGATGGACGTAGCGGCGTAATGTCACACACACACACACACATTCACATATGGCCGTGATGATGATCGGTGGACGACGGTTCGATTCCCTTACCTCTTCTTGGGATGCTTGCCACCATTGCGCGACACTTTTAAGGCCGTTTTGCCAATGTAAATCTTTTTCATGGTTGGCCTGTGTTGCTTGCCTCTCATGTGTTAAAGGTGAGGGGGGCGTGCATGTGCGTAAATGTCCAGCAGGGGGCAGGCTAACAGCGGCCGCACCCAACACTCACACGGCTAGTCCCAGAGCAGAGCCTGAGCAAACACAAGAAAGACAAAATATTCCACCGGGGTTAATATACGAGAGAAGATCCATCGCACTGGGGCTGTTAGAGTATTAGAGTTTTCATCGAGACACAATGAACACATTAGTAAACATTGGCAGAAAGCTTTAAGACCGAAAACAAAAAATGGATTTAAACAGCACATTTTCAGGAGCCTGTGATTAATAAACCTTTTTCACAATGGCCGGAAGTGCCAGTGTATGTTTAAGAAACTTCCAGTTAATGCTTTTCTACGGCAAAATAAAGTGTAAATGTCTCATATTTTTGACCAGCTTCATAAATCTGCCTATCACCAAATCTTCAACCAACAAGGTCGACAAAGGATAAAACATTTTTTATAGAGAATTTATCCACAACTATCAAGGTAAGAAAGATGAAAAGTTAAAGGCGAACAACGACTAGAATTCGCAAACTACTCCAGAGCAACACTAATGTTATGGTCCTAGAGATGTCTCGCATTTGAACTGCACAAATCCATTTATCTTTGCTTATATCTACAACATTAGTTTTGCTCAGTAGTTCACTAAGACTATTAATACTTTCAGGAAGAATGTGTTGTTTTCTTACACATTTAATGTTTAGAAAGACAAATAACACGTGTCAATTTCTGCAAATAATGTGATGCATGATTTATCGATTTTCTACAACACAAAAATGCGTTAACATCATTGGCCAAACACAAAACACATACAGACAAGTTTGTTTTTTTTTCGATCGGCCAGTCCAAGTTGGTCCAATGACATTTCAACGTCTCACGAGCAACAGCAGTACACAGTGGAGGCTGGTGGTATAATTTTTTGGCATAGGTCAAAATTATAAATATATATTACAAATATATGAGTTATATATGGTATTATATCGAATGTCAGAAACAGGCAGTCGTTTTGGTCACTATTGGTGAGGAGAAAATTCAGTTTGTCGACTGGACAAAAGTTAGTTAGGTCGAACTAACTTTTGTCCAGTCGACAAACTGAATTTTCTCCACTCCATGGATTCTACCTGGACAACTGAGGGATTTTTCACATTTTGGTCACTATTCGCTGAACTAAATCAACGCACAACGCGATCCACAGTTCACAATCAGCCCCAATAATTAACACAAGTTTTTTGTCCCAACTAGAACTCATTGAGTGCGTATACATGCACATCAATAACCCAGTTATGATCGGGTTTTTTGAGTATCCCGGTTTCTTGATGGTGCATGTATACGCAGTAACCCGGTTTCAGTAACCCGGTTATGGCAGTATTCCGGTTATTAGAAACCGGGTTACTGTAGCTGGTTTATTCCGATAGTAACCGGGTTACTTGTGGCATGTATACGCAGTACCCCGGTTACTGCAACATAAAGTTGAGTGCGCATGCGTCCAAAAGACACTTTCCAGCCTTTCACCACAACAGTAGTGACATAAATAAATTGACCAACATAAATAAAGTGACCAAACGAGTGAAATGACTGTAAAATTAAGAGCTGCGCTAAACCTGCACACGTACAATCTGCACTCGTACGACCTGCACTCGTGTGACGCTGAAAAGCTAAAACATGAACTATCTCCTATACTCTATATGCACGGAACACACTTACCATCATTAGCGCCTCTTCTGTCACAGAAATAACACACATAATCCACAGAGTCGTGTCATTTAGTCCAAAAGAAACTGATCACATCAGCGGCGCAAGGAGCGAGTTGTTTTTATCGCCGCTAACAGTTTATGCTAATTAGCCAAACGGTCTTAAGTTTCGTTTCTGTAAAACATAAACAAATGTGATCAGAGCTGAATTATCTGATCAAACGGGCTGATGTGTCTATAGTGTTTATGGTTTATATGTTGTAAAGTTGAGTTTATTTATGCAGAAGATTTTAATGAAGAATCTGCACAGTGGATTGTGGGAGATCTCGTAGCTCCTTAGCTTCTTATGCTAAAGGAGCTCACGGTTTGTATTTTTCCTGGTTTATGAAATTGATTTAAGTTAATTTTTGCGCCTGCGCATTTGTAAGATTATGTCAAGAAACCGGGATACTCCATTTGATCATGTACACGCGGATATGAGTGTCCCGGTTTCTCAGTGCGCATGTAAACGCAGTAACCCGAATACTGACATAACCGGGATATGGCTAATAACTGGGTTATTGATGTGCATGTAAACGCACTCAGTGATGTGTTGAAATTCAGCATCATTGTGGTATTTTTAACACGTTCATGTTTAGAGTGTAGTATTCATAATCTGTTAAAGACACAGAATCGGTTCAGTCCTGGTTTAGTCCTGGTTTAATCCTGGTTCAGTCCTGGTTCAGTCCTGGTTTAGTCCTGGTTCAGTCCTGGTTTAATCCTGGTTCAGTCCTGGTTTAGGCCTGGTTCAGTTCTGGTTTAGTCCTGGTTCAGTTCTGGTTCAGTCCTAGTTCAGTCCTGGTTTAATCCTGGTTCAGTCCTGGTTTAGTCCTGGTTCAGTTCTGGTTTAGTCCTGGTTCAGTTCTGGTTTAGTCCTGGTTCAGTCCTGGTTTAGGCCTGGTTCAATCCTGGTTCAGTCCTGGTTTAATCCTGGTTCAGTCCTGGTTTAGTCCTGGTTCAGTTCTGGTTCAGTCCTGGTTTATTCCTGGTTCAGTTCTGGTTTAGTCCTGGTTTAGGCCTGGTTCAATCCTGGTTCAGTCCTGGTTTAGTCCTGGTTCAGTTCTGGTTCAGTCCTGGTTCAGTCCTGGTTTAGTCCTGGTTCAGTCCTGGTTTAATCCTGGTTCAGTCCTGGTTTAATCCTGGTTCAGTCCTGGTTTAGTCCTGGTTCAGTCCTGGTTTAATCCTGGTTCAGTCCTGGTTTAGTCCTGGTTCAGTTCTGGTTCAGTCCTGGTTCAGTCCTGGTTAAGTCCTGGTTCAGGCCTGGTTCAATCCTGGTTCAGTCCTGGTTCAGTCCTGGTTTAATCCTGGTTCAGTCCTGGTTTAATCCTGGTTCAGTGCTGGTTCAGTCCTGGTTCAGTTCTGGTTTAGTCCTGGTTTAATCCTGGTTCAGTCCTGGTTTAGTCCTGGTTCAGTTCTGGTTCAGTCCTGGTTTAGTCCTGGTTCAATCCTGGTTCAGTCCTGGTTTAATCCTGGTTCAGTTCTGGTTTAATCCTGGTTCAGTCCTGGTTCAGTCCTGGTTTAGTCCTGGTTCAGTCCTGGTTTAGTCCTGGTTCAGTCCTGGTTTAATCCTGGTTCAGTTCTGGTTCAGTCCTGGTTCAGTTCTGGTTCAGTCCTAGTTCAGTCCTGGTTTAATCCTGGTTCAGTCCTGGTTTAGTCCTGGTTCAGTTCTGGTTTAGTCCTGGTTCAGTCTGGTTTGTCCTGGTTTCAGTCTGGTTTCTGGTTCAATCCTGGTTCAGTCCTGGTTTAATCCTGGTTCAGTCCTGGTTTAGTCCTGGTTCAGTCTGGTTTAGTCCTGGTTTAGTCCTGGTTCAGTTCCTGGTTCAGTCCTGGTTCAGTCCTGGTTTAGTCCTGGTTCAGTCCTGGTTTAATCCTGGTTCAGTCCTGGTTATCTGGTTCAGTCTGGTTCAGTCCTGGTTTAGTCCTGGTTCAGTCCTGGTTTAATCCTGGTTCAGTCCTGGTTTAGTCCTGGTTCAGTCCTGGTTTAATCCTGGTTCAGTCCTGGTTCAGTCCTGGTTTAGTCCTGGTTCAGTTCTGGTTCAGTCCTGGTTCAGTCCTGGTTTAATCCTGGTTCAGTCCTGGTTCAATCCTGGTTCAGTCCTGGTTTAGTCCTGGTTTAGCCCTGGTTCAATCCTGGTTCAGTCCTGGTTTAATCCTGGTTCAGTCCTGGTTCAGTTCTGGTTCAGTCCTGGTTTAGTCCTGGTTCAGTTCTGGTTTAGTCCTGGTTCAGTCCTGGTTCAGTCCTGGTTTAGTCCTGGTTCAGTCCTGGTTTCAGTCCTGGTTCAGTCCTGGTTTAATCCTGGTTCAGTCCTGGTTCAATCCTGGTTCAGTTCTGGTTTAGTCCTGGTTTAGGCCTGGTTCAATCCTGGTTCAGTCCTGGTTCAATCCTGGTTCAGTCCTGGTTCAGTCCTGGTTTCAGTCCTGGTTCAGTCCTGGTTTAGTCCTGGTTTAGTCCTGGTTCAATCCTGGTTCAGTCCTGGTTTAGTCCTGGTTCAGTCCTGGTTCAGTCCTGGTTCAGTCCTGGTTCAGTCCTGGTTTAGTCCTGGTGATCAGCTCGGCGGTAGTGACATTCATATATTTATAATCCACTAATGACACAGTGTAGATTTTTTTGTTCTGTGGCTCCTCGCTCCGGTGTGGTTTCCACCCACACTCCAAATTTACAAACGGTTTATCCTCAGCACGTTACAAGTTCTCCAAGTATCTCTGCTGTGTACGATCAGACTAATGGACTGACCCCGAAGTGATGTGTTCAAATTAACTAAAACATCAGAACGAATTACATATTGTGGGAACAAAATAGTAATTTGAGGCCACGATTAAGTATTTTTTTTCACACACGTCATCAGGCGAGCTTGGGTTTGAAAATGTGGCACTTTTTTGACACTTGGTCGACTAAAGCCTGGTCCACTCCACAGTATTTATTTTTTATTTTTTGGCAGTTTATACAACATGTTAACCTTTTCATAGTGTTTGGCTCCAGTCAAACGAAGTCCACTGACAAAATAGGGACAAAATAGCAAAATAAAAACTCCAGGACCATTTGTTTCGCGGGTTAATACGAACATTTTCAGAGCAAAATGATGAGTTTGAAAGCTGCAGTTACAGAGAGAGCGACAGTTTTTCAATACAAAGTGATTTAGAGTTGCAGTCGATAGAGCCTGAAGCAACCCCATGCTTACTTCCTATTTCCATTCAGTCTACGATGACGTCACAGTACCTTTGTTAGTTCACTTATTTACGTAAACAACACGTGATTTTCAG